GTGGGGCGGGACCACCTCGGTTTGCATCGTTCCGGTGCAGCCATCCCGGTCCATGTGGTCCCGATCCATGTGATCCCAATCTCTGGTGCTGATCCATATGGTCCCGGTCTGTGTAATCCCAGTCTGTGCAATCCCAGTCTGTGCAATCCCAGTCTGTGCGATCCCAGCCCATGGATCCCAGTCTGTGTGGTCCTGCATGGCATACACTCCAAGAGTCTGGAATTGCAGTTGCCAGCAAGGAAAAGATGTTCCTGCCCTTGAAGGCAAAGCTCTTGAGAAGGGGCCGAGAGCCAAGTGCAGCAAGATCTTACAGTGACATTTCCCTGCCAGCCCCCAGAACTTCACCCATGCTTGTTGTAGCTCCTGGATTGGGAATTAAATCAGGGAAGGGTTCTGGTGGGAGCTGCCCTGGGTGCAGGGAGACGCTGATGTCAGTGTTCAGGAACACACATAATCATAGATTGATTATATGCAGGTGCTTTATTGAAGTGCACGGAAACTAGGGGTATCAGCAACCCAAATCTAGCTCCATCATCTTTGTTCAAAATGCACATATTTCTACAATTTCAGCTGGAGCAGTAATCACTGTAACAACCTTATCAATATTGCTTCAATGATATTGCTTGATTAGCTTTATCAATATTGCTTCATGACAGTTAGCTCATCCTTGTGCAAACATGTACAAATCTGATCTCTGGGTGGGTACCTTGGAATCCCCAAGTACCAGTTCCCGTTACCGTAAACATTTCAGCTTGCTAGACCATCCCCAATACCAGACATTCTTGCAGCCTATTTCTACATGATTTTAAGAAACATTTTTGGAAACATTTAACTCCATAGTAACACGGCTGTGACTGCTGTGGTGTCACAGAGAGTGGAACACTGGGGCTGTCACTGCTCTGGTGTCACAGTGAGGAGGAAATTAGGGCTGTCACAGCTATGGTGTCACAGACATGGGAACACTGGGGCTGTCATGGCTGTGGTGTCTTAGAGGGGGGAACACTGGGGGTGTCACTGCTGCACTGCTGCAATAGATTGACATTTAAGAAAAAAAGACAAACAGCTAAAGATATTAAGGTTGCTGGAGGCTGGTGGGAGCCAGCCTGGCCTATAACTGGTCATTTATGAGAATTGACAGTAGTTTTGACCATTGAAAAGTGATATCAACCTGTGAACATCACCCTTTAAAACTTAAGCCTGGGAATTTCTCTTTCTCTTTGGTTTCTGGCTTTTGAAGAGGTAAGAGGGCTCTGGTTCAGCCTCCTCCCCCACAGGCCAGACAAGGCCACAGGGGGAGCGGGACTGGCCAGAGTTCTGCAGTTCCTGGCGAGGGATGGAGACTGTGAAGTGACAGGAGCCCCTTCCCAGAGGGAAGTACTCCCATCTGTCCTACTGGTCTGGCCTTAATGTAAATCTTTGAGTTCATCAAAGGGTCATTGCTAAACAAAACTTTTTGCCTGCTGACATTGCTGGTCATGTTCTGTCCCATGAGATGCTCTTGATGGTTCCCTCTTTTCCTGGGCATGGCATTGGAGGAGGTCCAGGCCCAGGTGATGCCACTGAAGGAAATGTGCCCTCAGCCCAGGGACACTCAACACAGACTCCCCCAGCCCCTCAGTGCCCTGCCGCTGGTCACAGCAGCCCCTGCCTGGCTCCTGCCTGCCCACACCGTGGTCAGCCCCACCTGCTCCTGGACATGGAGCTCAGCCAGGGCTGGTGCTGTGTGGGCTTTGCTGGTGGTACCAGCCAGACACTGGGGTGACAGCTCCATCTCTTTATTGGAACAGAAGAGCTGTGTCAGGCCCTGCCCTGGCAGGAGGGACCCACCTTCAGTCCAGGCCACAGAGCAGGGCGGGTCCCTTCAGGGACACAGGGCCTTGCTGTGGGTGGTGGCAGCATCTGCACAGCAGCAAGCTGGTAATGCAGCTGTGACAGGGACATCACGTATGGGCATGGAGATGTGAAATGTGCGGTGCAGGTGTCCCTGAGGGAGGTGTTTGGCCTTTCTTGTGAAGCTGCAGAGGGGAACCTGTTGAGAGAGGAGATGGCTGAGGCCCCAGCTGCAGCTGGCACACAGGGACCCTCTTGCACACTGGGAGATTCTCACTGTGCTCAAAGTTTCCCTCTGAAGACTAAGAGGTGAATTTAGATAGGCTTAGCAACTGGTCTGCAGGCCAAACAATTGAGGTAGCAAAAGAAGAAATTGAGAAAATACAAGTTTATCCATAGTGAGGATGAAAAGAAGGTCATTAGCATGGAAACCAATAAAAAGGGACATAAAGCGGTATTTGCAGTTATGTAATACCTGCCTTAGAGGCAGCATACGTGCCTTAATAATCTCTTGTAAACTCTTGACAATTTATTGTTGATGTCAATTGCTTTGTACCAATAAAATACATTAAGCCATTGCGTTGCCCAATGAATATAATGAGCTGTTTTGATGTAACTAATGACTTAAGATTATGCTTTGTTAAGTGAATAAAAGTTGACAACACTTTGTAATAAAAAAGAAGCCATTGTAGTCTCTGCACAAGTGTGTGTCGTGTATCCGTCTCAAGTGACAGGTGAGAAATTCAAAAATGCCTTTGAAAAATCCTAAACTACTATGGAAATTTAGAAGAAATATTTGTGGATTACTTTCTAAAAAAAAAAAAAAAAAATTTAAACATTCCTAAGAACTTTTTACTTCTAAAAATGAAAAACAAAGATAACATGGTGGTCCATGCCTGGCTGCTACTGGCAGAGCAAGAAGCTGATAATGCAGCTTTGGTGGGGACAACAGACACTGACTTGGAGATGCAGGAAGACAGGTGTAGTTCTCCCTGATTGAAGCCTTTGGCCAGTCTTCTGAAGATGCAGAGGTGCTCCTGTGGAGAAGGGAGGCGGCTGTTGCCCCCAGCTTCCGCTGGAACTCAGGGACCCTCCTGCACAGCAGGACCCAGATTGGCCAAGGCTCCCCAGCACGGCTGGACCTGCTGGCACACCTTGGCCCAGCTGGACAGCTGCCCCCCTAGGCCCCCGTGGGCAGGGGATGGCTCAGGGCAGGGTCCCTGCAGTCTGCTTTTCAAAGGCAATCTTACCACCACTCTTTCTCCTGCCCACCTTGTTTTCCCTCTGCCTGGAGCTCCTAGGGCTGCTCCTGGCCAAGAATAATAATCACTGCTTATTCTGTCAGGAAAGGGACATTGAGAAGTTGTCACCAGCATGCACCATGACCTTCACAATGTGATTGACCAGGACTGCACGTCAATCCATATCTCAGTGCCAGTCTGGATGGGAGTACAGATCAGAAGCGTTTTCATGGTGTGCTGGGCTCCTCATCCTGTTTAGGGAATGAGGCACCGCAAGGAGGTCCTCAGTGGCAGAGAAGCCACTGCCTGAGATGTAACCCCGGGTGCCTCCTGTGGCTCAGGGAGCAGCTGTGGTTATAAAGGTGTGTTTGTCTGCAGCACAGAGCCAGGCCTTAGTGAGGCCCTTGCTATGCCTCGGGCACGGCTCGGCAGTCCCATTGGGCCCGGGGCCTCAGCCCTCCCTGTCGGGGCTGACCTGGCCTGGCCCAGCCACGGGACGGGCCCAACAAGGGCGCAGCGGGTCCAGAGGCCTGGCCTGGCCCAGGTCCCCAAGGGATGGGCTCCATTTGCCTGCCTGACACGCAGGCCAGCCTGAGGCTTTGCAGGAAGATTCCTGCCAGCTTTGCACAATCTCCACTGAGAGTGTCCCTTTGCTGAGAAGACTGACAAACCCCTCTAGTTTAACCCTACTGCACACCTCATGAGGGATCTCTGCAAATCTTAGGAGACCATAAATATTCCTTTGTGCCTCATGAGGGATCTCTGCAAACCTTGGCAGAGACCCCAAAATATCCCTTGTTCCTCACAGGGAATCTGTGCACACCTTTTGAGAGACCCCAAAATAACCTTGTGTGCCTCACAAAAGAATCCAGCCCCTGGCCCACTTCAGGAAGGACTCGGCTCCTCTGCAGGCCTTGATGGCAACCACTAAATGGTCACATAAATCATGAGGAACTCAAGCCCCCTGCCAGTCTTACAGCGTTCTCCAGTCACCTGTAGCCATAGAAGTGACCCCAATTCCCCTAAGAATTTCAAGAGGAAACCCCAGCCACATGCACCACTTACAAAAGACCCAAATGCATGCCTGTCTTACTGGAAAACACAACACCCTGTCCGTGTGCCTCACAATGGACCCCAATCATCTGGCAGCCTTACAGGGGTCCCCCATCACCTGCATGCCATAGAAAATCCAGGTGTGCCATTAACACTAACCAACAGTATGTGCCATGACAGAAACCTCTCCAGTGCCTTTCTGAGAATTGGGAACACGTTGTGGTGCCAGCTGCATCTGTGGGAGCCATGGGCAGCGTGAGTCTGTGCTGTGCTCCACTGCTGAGCTGGCAGCATGGTGGGTATTCCTTCCAGAAATTCCAGGATATTCCCTGTTTTCCCCAGGTCTGGGGCCTGCAGGTACCTTGCCACCCCTTGGCATAGGCTGTGCTGCCCAACAAAGCCCAGAAGGCCGAGAGGAGAGCCTGAGGGCAGCAGGAAGAAGCTCCTGCTCTAGAACTGAGGGAGTTCTTCCAGAAGCAAAGATTGTGAATTTAAGCTATTTGCACTGTGCTCAAAGTTTGCCTCTGAAGACTAAGTGGTGAGCTTGTCAGTAATCCCAGAAAATATCCGGAAAAATATTTTATGCAATTTTTTTGGATTAGGTCCAAATCTCCAGTGGGAAAAGAGCCTCCCCAGTATGCTGGGTGTCTTGGGGTGTCTTAGTTCTTCCTAGAGTAAACATTACCAATTAAACGCAAATTAATGTTTTATTGAAGAAACGGAAAAAATGTTCCAGAATTCTAAAACTACTTTGAAAAACATGTTACTAGTCTGGAAAAATAGAAGAAACATTTGGGGACTTCTTTCTACCAAAAAAAAATTTAAATATTTCTAATAATTTCTAATTTCTAAAAATGGAAAACAAAGATATGCCCCATGCCCGGCTGCTGCCTGCCCAGCCAAGGCTGTGGCCAGCCAAGCAGCTGCACCAGTGCTGGTGGTACCAGCCAGACCCCAAAGCAGAAGCCCAAAGATGTTGCTCAAGCCCTTCCCTGGCAGGAGGGGCCCACATTCAGGCCTGGCCAGGCACCAGGGCCAGCACCTTCAGGGACAGAGGGCCCTGTTCTGGGTGGTGGTGGCACAGCAATAAGCTGATAATACAGCTGTGGCAGGGACAATGGACACTGGCTTGAAGATGGAGGAAGACAGGTGCAGGTCTCCCAGACTAACATGTTTGGCAGGACTTGTGAAGCTGCAGAGGCACTCCTGTTGAGAGAAGAGGCAGCTGAGGCCCCCAGATGCCATGGGCACACAGGGACCCTCCTGCACAGCAGGACCCAGAGCTGCCAAGGCTCCCCAGCACGGCTGGAGCTCCTGGAACACCTTGGCCCAGCTGGACAGCTGCCCCTCAAGGCCCCAAGCAAGCAGGGGATGGCTCTGGGCAGGGTACCTAGCAGGAGCGGGCCCCAGAGCATGTCTGCCTTTCAAGTCCCCGCTCTTTCTCCTGCCCACCTTGCTTTGCCTCTGCCTGCTGCTCCTGGGGCTGCTCTTGGCCAGGCAGCCTCAGTGGGAGCCAGCACTGGCTGCAGCCTGAGTGGGTTCCCCAGGACAAGACCCTGCAATTAAGAGGCCAATGAAAGGCCTGGGCAGCTGCAGAAATCTCAGCAGAGTTATTTGGACAACTACTGACTGCCCACAAGTCCACAGCAGCCTCACTGAGAATGTTTGCTGTCTACAGTAGGGTTTCAAAATAAGCTGTTTGAGGGAAAGATGAATGAAATACTCACCGTTTTGTCTTCCAGACATACCAGATTCCAACACAGCATAAAATGAAGAAAAGCAGCAAAAAAAGCCGGCCTGCCATTAATCCTAGCCAACAGAGTGTTCCCTGACAGCAACCTCTTCTGATGCCCTTCTGGGAATCGGGAACTTGTGTTGTGCCGACTGCATCTGCAGGAGCAATGGGCAGTAAGAGCCTGTGCTGTGCTCCACTGCTGAGCTGGCAGCATGGTGGGTACCTCCAGGATATTCCCTGTTTCCCCCAGAGCTGGAGCCTGCAGGCACCTTGCCACCCCTTGGCACAGGCTCTGCCACCCAATAAAACCCAGAAAGCTGAGAGGAGAGCTCGGGGACAGCGCAGCTGCTTGGGCAGTGGCTCCTTCCAGGGACACAGGCCAACCCATCCCTGAGCAGCCACTGCCACCCCTGACCCTCCCTGCTCTGTGACAGCTCCCCCAGCCCAAGGGGACAGAGCCAGGCCGCCAGGGCTGGCTGTGGCTCTGGGCTCGTGGCAGGGCTCCCACTCAGGGCTGCTCCTGCGTCTTGGGCCTCTGGATGCTTAGGGCCAGCTCCAGGAGCAGCTGCAGTGGGATGGACATCGGTGCACGAGTCCCATTTCCCAGGGGCTGGGAATGAGCTCCAGAGGCCTGGAAGCCGCGGCGCCTCCAGCTTTTGCTGCTGCCAGGCCGTGCAAGGAGAGGCCCTGTGGGAAGAGCTGCTGGCACACAGCCCCATCGAGGGCTGAGCCCAGCACAGCAATTACCTCCTGTGCCTGGGCCCACGCCTGCAATTGCCTCCTTTCCTTCAGGAAATGCCGCCTTCCATAGAGCCTCTCTGTCCATCGCTTGAGAAAGGAAGAGGCACAGCTGGATCAGATGGAACTATCACATAGCAGGGAAGTGGCCTCTTCAGGAGGCAGTGGTTGTCAAAGACATGGAAGAGGATCAGGAAAAGGCCCAGGCTCTCTCTTGTCCAAACCACCACCTCTCCTGATCTGCTTGGAGAACAGGAAGTTACAGAGGATCTCAAGGTGTGCATGGCCCATAGTGCAGTTTAGGCAGCCTGCCTGCTGATGCCAAATGCCTTCCTGCAGAGGCTGGGGAGAAACCGCATCCAGGCCAGGCTGGGAAACATCCCTGCAAGGCTTGAAAGCAGCAGCAGGGCAGTGAGGCTGCCATGGATCCCTTCCCATGGTACCAGGCATGGCATGTCCAGAGAAAGCCCCCAGCTGCTGAGTCTCAGGAAAGGCTGAGGGAAATGTACCCACCATGCCCTTTGAGCAGTTCCTTCTCTATTTCTTTCAGGATGTGGTGTGACTCAAGTGATTCTTTCTGTCCTGTGGCTTTGTTCTTCCCTCTCAGAGGACCTTAACAAAAAATAGTTCCATTTCCCAGGAATGGGTCCCAAAAAAACAGGGGTCAACCTGTGGGTTCAGCAGGGACACACTACTCACCCCTGCGATGGGAGCCGAGCTTGTGGGCAGTAATCAGCAAAGGAGCTGAGAAAGTCCTCCCTGCAGACACACCTGTAACTCAACAGTCACAGAAGCATCTGTCACCTGGTTTCTACCAGGTTGTCAATGATTGTTCCCTGTTGGGACACGGAGAACATACCTGCAGGAGACTCCAATGGCTTCAAAACTTTATGCAGCCAATCTAATGGAGAAGCCTTCCTAGGAACCTCATCTGGAAGGGAGCACAGATGTAAACCTTTTTCAGGGTGTGCTGGGATCACTTTCAGCCTTAGGGAACTGGGCACTACCAGGGGGTTGGGTAAGACCATGGGAGCCAGATGTCAGTGGACATGGAGAAAGCTGTAGAGGGGCCTGGGGAGCTCTGGGCTGGCTCCTGGTCACTCTTTTCATGCCCTGTGCAACATCCCTGAAGGGTGGGCACTCCCCAGCAGCAGAGATGGCAGCTCAAGCCTCAGCAGGGCTCAGGCCCAGAGGCACAGCAATTACCTCCTGGGTCTGTGCCTGGCATGGCCTCCCTTCCTGCAGCAGAGGCTGCCCATGAGCCACTGCTTCCTCCGGGAAACGCCACCTTCAGCACAGCCTCTTTGTCCACTTCTGCAGAAAGGGGCAGCTGGATCAGATGGCAGCATTCCCCACTGGGGGAAGTGGCATCTTCAGGAGGCAATGCTTGTCAAAGATTTGGTTAAGGACCAGGATATCATATAAACTTTTGGGATTGGCCAGAGCCCTCCCTTCTCCAAACAGCTGCCATTTTTGATCTACCCAGAGACCGGGGAATCCTACAAGACCTCAGTGTGGGCATGGCCTATGCTGCAGTTTGGGAACCCTGTCAGCTGATGCCAAATGCCTTCCTGCAGAGGCTGGGGAGAAGCTGCAGCAGGCCAGGCTGGGAAACAGCCCTGCAAGCCATGAAAGCAGCAGTGGGGCAGTGAGGCTGACATGGATCCCTTGCCTCTGTGTTGGGCACTGCATGTCCAGATGTGCAGAGAAAGCCCCTGGCTACTGAGTCTCAGGAGAAGGCTAAGGGATGCAGACCCACATTGTCCTCCCTGCAGAATTTTCTTCAGCATTTGCCTCATGGGTTTGGATGGCTCATGTGGTATCATAACTCCTGTAGCTTTGCTATTTCCTCTTGGAGGACCTTAGAGCAAAATAGTTCAATTTCGCAGGAATGGATCCCAGAACGCCAATGCTCAGCCTGTGGGATCAGCAAGGACACAATACTCACCCCTCTGATGGGAGCCAGGCTTGTGTGCAGCAACCAACCCAGGAGCTGAAAAAGTCCTCCCTGCAGACACACCTGTAACTCAACAGCCACAGAAGCTTCAGTCATGTCTGCTGATCTGCACAGGCAGCACTGAGCTGCAGGAGCGATGAGGGGATCACACAGGGTGAGGACACACACGTGCACAGCTCTGTCCTGGCACCTGCAGCGATGCCACCCTGGCCAAGCTTTAGTCTCTGAGCTGGCAGCTCTTCCCAGGGGGAAAGGCCTTATGCTCACCATCTTCCAGAGCATTCGTTCTGGGTGTGGGTTGAGAAGCCAGATCACCTTCACCAAGAGGCTTGGCTGCAAAGAAAGGCAGGAGAGAAGTGCTCCAATGGCACTGTAGGAGATCCTCAGGCTCCCTGGGTCCAGCAAAGGAGGTGTGCAAGGCACAGCCCTGGGACACAGCCCTGGGCCCGGCCCCTTCCCTCTCTGATCTTCTCCGTGGCTGTACAGAGCACACAGGGAAGGAGACACTGATATTGCACATGGGAAGAGATTGATGCCTAAATTCACCTTCCTCCCACTGGCAGTGACCTGTGGGATCCCTCAGGGCTCTAGAAGGGAGCAGGGCAAGGTTTCCAGATCCCATCAAGCCTGAGATTATGTTAAGAGATATAGCACATGAGTGAGCTCTTGCCACCTTGTCATTGCTTGTTCTGTCAGTAAAGGGAATAGAAGAATTTGCCTCCAGCATTCTCCAAGATATTCAAAGTATCATTCAGTAGCACTTCCAAATAATTAAGGTTGTGTTCCAAATCTAGAAGGGAGCACAGATCAGAACTGTTTTCATGGTGTGCTAAGATCCCCTTCTACCTTAGGGAACTGGGCAGTGCAAGGGAGTCACACTAAGGCTGTGGGTGCCAGATGTCAGTGGACATGGCCACAGCTGCAGAGGGGTCTGGGGGCTCTGGGCTGGCTCCTGGTCACTCTCCGCCCTCTTTGCAGGCCCTGTGCAGCATCCCTGGGAGAGGTTGCTGGAGCAGCCCAGGCCCCACTGGGGTCCTCTCTCTGCCACAGCTGAAAGAATTGTAAAAGCAATGGGGAAGAGCTACAGCAGACAGTGCCACAACTGTCCCTCAGGCCCTCCCTCCCTCCTGCCCACGTTCTGCTGGGACAGCTCTCCCATCCCATAGAGACAGAGCCAGGCTCTTTCAGGATATAGTGGAGCCTTGCTCTCCCCCTCTGCCTATTCCCCACCATGGGCACTCCTTTGCAGCCACTGCCAGGTTTTGGGACCTGTCTCCCATGGAGGGACCCCAGCAGGACTGCTCACTAGCCAAGTGCCCTGAGCCTGCTGGGGATAATTCCACTGGGCTGTGCTGGTCTTGTCCAGGCTGTGTCCACACTGCCAAGCAGTAGACAAGCAGCTCAAGTCTCAGCAGGGCTCAGGCCCAGGGGCACAGCAATTACCTCCTGGGACTGTGCCTGGCATGGCCTCCCTTCCTGCAGCAGAGGCTGCCCATGAGCCACTGCTTCCTCCGGGAAACACCACCTTCAGCACAGCTCTTTGGTCCTTCTCTGAAAAAAAATAAATTGTACACCTGAATCAGATGGAACCTTTCCCCATTGGGGAGGTGGCATATTCAGGAGGCAATGCTTATCAAAGGAAACCATATAAACTTTTGGGATTGGCCAGGGCCCTCCTTTCTCCAAACAAACACCATTTCTGGTCCACCCTGAGACTGGGAAAGTGCAGAAGATCTCAGGGTGGGCATGGCCAGTGGTGCAGTTTGGGAAACCTGTCAGCTAATGCCAAATCCCTTTCTGCAGTCTGGGGAGAAGCTGCAGCCAGGCCAAGCTGGGAAACAGCCCTGCAGGCCATGAAAGCAGCAGTGAGGCTGCCATGGATCCCTTCCCGCTGTGGTGAGCACTGCATGTCCAGATGTGCAGAGAAAGTCTCCACCTGCTGAGTCTCTGGAAAGGTTGAGGGACATGGACCCACCTTGCCCTCCCTGCAGCATTTCCTTCAGCATTTGCCTCATGGGTTTGGCTGGCTCATGGGGTTTCATGACTCCTGTAGCTTTGTTCCTCCCCCTCGGAGGACCTTGACAGCAAGTAGTTCCATTTCTCAGGAAGGGACCCCAGAAAACCAGTGCTCAGCCTGTGGGGTCAGGAGGGACACACCACTCACCCCTCTGATGGGAGCCAGGCTTATGTGCAGCAACCAACCCAGGCGCTGGGAAAGTCCTCCCTGCAGACACACCTGTAACTAAACAGCCACAGAAGCTTCTGTCATCACTGCCAGCTGGACAAGCTTTAAGGTTCTGAGCTGGCAGCTTTCCCAGGGGGAAAGGCCTTGACCTACCCTCACCATCTCCCAAGGGCTGAGTCCTGGACATGGGTTGGGAAGCTGGATCGCCTTCAACAATAGGTTCAGCTGCAAGGAAAGGCAGGACAGAACAGGTCCTGGACAGTGCTCATGATTCTCCTTCAGGCTGGAGGGGCAGTGAGTGCACCTGGCTGATTTCTGCCCTTCAAGGCACTCCCTCATCTCTGCCTTCCACCCAGGAGCAGGGGCAGGGAGACCACGTGCCTGCAGTTGCCCCACACCAGGATAGAAGAAGTTTCTTGAATGGCAGTCAGGGGAGAAAGGACACCCTGGAACTGCCAGCAGCTCTGAACTGAGCCCCAGGCAGGGCCAGGGCTTGGCAGCAGTAGCTCAGGCTTCCTGGGGCTGGAAAAGGAGCCATGCAAGGCACAGCCCCAGGGCACAGCCCTAGGCCCAGCCCCTTCCCTCTCTGCTCTTCTCTGTGGCTGCACAGAGCACACGGAAGGAGACACTGGCATTGCACACAGGAAGAGGATTGACATCTAAATGCACCTCCCTCCCACTGACAGCAATGCTGTGGGATCACTCAGGGCTCCAGAAGGGAGCAGGGCAACTTTTCCAGAATCCATCAAGCCTAAGATTATGTTAAGAGATAATGGTACACGAGGGAGCTCTTGCCACACTGACACCGATTATTCTCTCAGGAAAAGCACATTGAGAACTTGCCTCCAGCATTCTCCAAGTGTTTCAAGCTGTTATCCAAGAGGGCATCCAGATAATGCAAGTTACAATCCCAATCTAGAAGGGAGCACAGATCAGAAACATTCCCATGATGTGCTGGGATCCCCTTCTGTTTTAGGGAACTGGGAACTGCAAGGGGGTCAGGTAAGGCCATGGGAGCCAGATGTCAATGGACATGGCCAAAGGTGCAGAAAGGCTTGGGGAGCTCTGGGCTGGCTCTGGTCACTCTCCACCCTCTTTGTAGGCCCCATGCAACATCCGTGGAGAGGCAGCAGAACCAGCCCAGAGCCCCTTGAGACTCTCTCCCTCCCACAGAGGAAACCCTCCCTTAAGCCCTGGGGAAAACCATCCCCAATGCTTCCCAGGGAGAAGGAAGTGCTGTCTCAGGAAAGGGAAGCCAGGCCCTGGGCTCACCTGCTCCCTGTGCTCGCCACGGAGCAGCCTGGGCAGCCCTGTCAGGCAGGGCCACTGCCAGGAGGAGCAGGAGGAAGAGGCGCAGAGCAAAGGCCATGGTGCCTTGCCCACTGCCAGTCCTGCAGCTCTTGCTGCCACCACTGTCCTGACACCGCTGTCCCAATGTCAGCACCGCTGCTGCCGCTGCCGCTGCTGCCACAACAGTCGTGGTCAAGGACTGACGGCTTGGTCCTTGTGGTGCTGTGCAACCACAGGGCTCTGGGACCTCTGTGACCTCAGAGCCTGCTGTCACCTCAGCCTGCTGTCACCCCAGAGACTGCTGTGACCTCATGGCCTTGGCTGTACCCCCCGAGTGTACTCCCATCTGTACTCCAATCTGTACTGGACTGATTGTAAATCTTTGACTTCATCAAAGGGTCATTGCTAAACAAAACCTTGGTTTTGCCTGCTGACATTGCTGGTCATGTTCTGTCCCATGAGATGCTCTTGATGGTTGCCTCTTTTCCTGGGCATGGCACTGGAGGAGGTCCAGGCCCAGGTGATGCCACTGAAGGAAATGTGCCCTCAGACCAGGGACACTCAACACAGACTCCCCCAGCCCCTCGGTGCCCCGCCGCTGGTCACAGCAGCCCCTGCCTGGCTCCTGCCTGCCCACACCGTGGTCAGCCCTGCCTGCTCCTGGACATGGAGCTCAGCCAGGGCTGGTGCTGTGTGGGCTTTGCTGGTGGTACCAGCCAGACACTGGGGTGAGAGCTCCATCTCTTTATTGGAACAGAAGAGCTGTGTCAGGCCCTGCCCTGGCAGGAGGGACCCACCTTCAGTCCAGGCCACAGAGCAGGGAGGTCCCTTCAGGGACACAGGGCCTTGCTTTGGGTGGTGGCAGCATCTGCACAGCAGCAAGCTGGTAATGCAGCTGTGACAGGGACATCACGTATGGGCATGGAGATGTGAAATGTGTGTTGCAGGTGTCCCTGAGGGAGGTGTTTGGCCATTCTTGTGAAGCTGCAGAGGGGAATGTGTTGAGAGAGGAGATGGCTGAGGCCCCAGCTGCAGCTGGCACACAGGGACCCTCTTGCACACTGGGAGATTCTCACAAAGTTTCCCTCTGAAGACTAAGAGGTGAATGTGGATGGGCTTAGCAACTGGTCTGCAGGCCAAACAATTGAGTTAGTAAAAGAAGAAATTGAGAAAATAAAAAGAAGAAATTGAGAAAATACAAGTTTGTCCATAGCAAGGAAGAAAGCAAGGCTGTTAGCATGGAAACCAATAAAAAGGGACATAAGGGGTATTTGCAGTTGTAATAAATGGAATTGGTTCATGCTCACTAAATTGTAGCCGTTATTAAAGTTATTATTAGAAACAATCAAGAATCAGTGTTACAAAGCAGATGTACCCCTTTGCAGATGTTACATGTCAAAATGAAGGTACAGGATGTAGTTTAGAAGATAAATGGTGTCTCAAGACCAAAATGGCCTTGAGATGTACCAAAATTAGAACAAATTTAGGCATTGGGCATAAGGATTAGTAAATATAAGGCTAATTAGTAGACTAACATAACACAAGGCTTAGTACGCACGTGCAAACCTGTAAGGTTATCAAAAGGACAATGAGGAAAAGGAGAAGCCTTCGCCAAAAGACCACCAAAAGAAGACTGAAGACCCCTTTGCAACAAGTGAGGCATGTGCCGTGAAGAAAAGTGATGTTAAGTCAGAAAAATTGGAAATAGGAGGAAACTTACAGGAAACATTAATGAATATGTATAAGCATACAGTATATGAGTTTAGCTTGAAGTGCTTTGTTTTGAACGTGAGGCAGGGTGGGAAGCCTCCGTACCCTGGTTGGTTTTGCTTATGCTTTAATCATACTTAATTACTAGTAGATTATATATATAAATTTAAATTTTTTATTAAACTGTATTATTTTACTAAACTGTATTCTTTTATACCACATTACTATTCAGTTTAGTAAATTGTATTCATTTTTAATTAAACTGCCATTAAGCCAAGGGACCTAGTTGTCAAAATTCTAATTTCATTTATAACAATATTTTAACAAAGAAGGTTGGTACAACAACATTGGTATTTAAAAAACATGACACAATATGAGCTATATTAACAAAGAAGGCCCCTTACGGTGACAACATTCTACTGTTAAAACTGTAAAACATCTTTGTGTACTGATCAGGAGGTCATGATTTACTCTTTACAATCCTAATGCTGAATATCTCCTTAGGGAGTCTGGTCACAGAGAAGAATGAGGACCCTGTGGGCTGCCCCTGTTTGGTCAACCTGCTCCTCATCCTGAGCCTCAGCATGTCTGACATCGCCCACGTGGGACTGACATCCCAAAACATTGATAACATTTCTCTTTATAATTTTTCTTTATAATTAAAATCTAATTAATTTTAAAAAATGAAATTTCATTTTTTATAATAATATTGTTCTGTATTTTTAGAACCTAATTTTTATATTTATATGAAAGAATTGATACAATTTTAGGAACAAAAAACATTATCGGTCCTTGGTTCAAAGTACCACAATTCCCTTCATTAATTAATTGACCACTATTTCTCCCTCTTTTTGCTAATTCGTCCTACTTTTAGTCCTTTGATCATATTTTCTAATAATTTTCTCAGATTCCTACTTTTAGTCCTTTGATCATATTTTCTAATAATTTTCTCAGATTGGGTAAAAGGGACCACTTTGGGGTCCATGGAAACTTTTCTGGTGAACATTTGGGGCAGTTTTGTGTCTGGGGAGGGAATTTAGAGAGAACTTGGTGGTCTGGAGGACACCTGGGGTAGCCAGGTGGGCACTTAGGGATTCTGTGGGACAATTCATGGTCTGGGGGAGCACTTGGGCGTCCAGGGGGGCTCTTGGAAGTCAGGGAGGAGAATCTGGGGGAACTTCGGGGTCCGGGCAGGCACTTCGGGGGCTGTAACGGGGAAGCTATGGGCTGCAGCGGATGATGGGAGTTGTAGGCGCCGGTATAATACGGTTTAATGGGGCCGCGGAGCATCACGGGAGTTATAGGCGCACCTCCAATGGGTTCCGGTGGGGCGTGGGGCATGACGGGAGATGGAGTCGTGGCTGGAATAGCACTCTATGGGCGCCGCGGAGCATGATGGGAGCTGTTGTCCCGGAAGTGGCTCAGAAGGCGCGTTTGGCGGTGCAGGGAAGCACTTGGAGAGAACTTTTCCGTCCGAGCTGTGGTTGCAGGTCCTCGGGTGTCGTTCCGATTGGGAACGGCTAGGATGAACGACACTGGACTCTCAAGGGAGTCACAACACGAGAATTCCTTATGTAATAAAGAATTGGGTAAATAAAAATTCGGAAATAAGAAGTTTAAATAAAGTATGTATAATTATAACTAAATGAAAGTATGGAATAAGGAATTCTCCTCCCGGTCGAGGTAGAATTCCTCTTCCAAAAATCACGAATTGCAAAAGAACCCCCCCAGATAACAGGTTTCAGCAGACTCATCAACTCGGAGGAAAGGACAGGACACAGGCCATCATAGAAACAAAAGAAACAGCCTAAAAGTCTACCTCCAGAGAAAGGCAACGCCCGGCCGATTTCGGCCAAAGACCATCAAGCAAGACAAAAGGGACGAGCCTCAGGAAAATGGTCGTTGCCAGAATCGAACACCACACCCGCCAAACCCATACTACAGAAACTCAATCAAGAAAGACAAAGAAGAGACTACTCCTCCGAGATATCCATCGGTGCTAGCCCGGATCTCTCAATCCTGCTGTGATGAAATATGTTAAAATACATACAGACTCACTTTGCATTTGAGGAGACTCTGCCCGGATACTTACTGACTCAATGTTCTAGGCCAGGAAATCCATTCACCAGACAATCAGGGACATTTGGTGAATGGAAACTGGTTGGAATTCTAGCCTGGGGACATAAAATCCCTATAAAAACCCAGGCCAGAGAACCCTCAGACGTGGATTTGGGAACACCTATACCTTGCGTATAGACCCTGTCCACCCAGCGCTGCGCTG